CATCTCTATCCTCTGAATAAAAAGAGATTATTTTCAAAATAGCTTTGACTCGATTTTATTTTTGTACCATCAATGTATGAAAAAAGTTAAACTTCTAACCCCTAATTTATACCCAAAAAGTAGAATATTTTTAAATGAAGTTGATAAAAGGGACCCTTTATCTATTAGCTTTAGTAGCCACTCATTGTGTCCTATATATATGTAAAATAAAACTATATAATATCCCCTTCTATTCTTCTACTATTTTCTAACTTCTTTGTTCTTTCTACATTAATTAATCTTTCATATATTGCATCTTTTTTTTTTTTTGGTTATTTCTCTCCATATATGGAAGAAATTAAAAACCAAAATCTCCTTCAACCTCTCATACAAACAACCAACACAAACTCTTATGAAAATGACCACAAAATCATCTCTTATTCATCAAATACAAGTATAATTCTTAGACTTGTTATGGTCATTTTTGTAGGAATAGTCTCCTTATGGGCAAATTATGAAGTTTCCAAAGGTTTTTCCATAACTATTGTCAATGAAGCCATTGAGGGTACATTTGCAAATAAGCGTTTCGATCTCTTTTACGTGTCAAACGATGAAGCCACTCGTTTAGTCCTAAGGACTAGTAAATTCGTTGAAAATATTCTTTACCCTATCAGTGATCGTCAAGATTCTGGTCAACCAGGAAACAAGAAGCAAGTCAAACACGTCATCCTTCAACTATCTAGTCGGAATTTGACTAGTCCGATCATTGTTAAGTCGTCTCGAGATGACAAGGATGTGTTTGTTGTATATATAAGTCCTTCAATTTTGGAAGGTCCTAATTATAAGCGTGATATGTTTTTGGCGTTGCAAAAAGGTATGGCGCGTATATGGCTATGGGATGGTCGAGGTAATGCCCCGTCTAGTCTTGTAAATGGCATGACTGAGTATATTACTAGTTTGGCTAGTTTATCTGGACGTGTTACGTCTGAATCTAAATCAGTCAAGTCATTAAAATTAAATAGGAGTTGTTGGAAGAGCAAGGATAAAAGGACTATAGTAAAGTTATTGAATTATTGTGAGGGGAAAAAAGAAGGATTTGTTAGAAGATTGAACAAAGAGATGAAAAATGGTTGGCATGAGAAAATAATTGATGATGTATTAGGAATGCCAGCTTGGCATTTATGTGAAACTTATAATAAAGAGATACTATGAATAAGTTTGTGATCAGAGTAAATAATTCTATGAACGAATGAATCAGATCAATTGACAAAATGAAGAGATTTGTATAAATAATATATTTTGTCGTTATTTTAGGATTTGATTCTTTTGAGATTATTATTTATATAGTTGATAGTTACTTCTGAATTTCATCTCTTCTATGGAATTGGACGTGAGAGTTTTTTTCCTCCATCACCTCATGAACAAAATTATTCCAAAAAAAAAAATATTCTGCAAATGAATTATTAAATTTTGTAAGAGAATATAATATTTTTTTGTTGAGTCGATTGATGATCTATTGAAAGATGCATGACAAGATAGAGGTAAAGAATTTGTATATACACTATATTCTTTCAAGTTCACTTGTCGAATTACATCAAATATGTTATTATTATTGTGTAGGAGGATATGATGTTTTTCTTGTACTGATCGATGAAATATTTCTGATCACAAGATAGGAATAAAATTGTCTATATATATTTTTATCTTCTTCAGAACTTCGCTCGTGAAGTTATACCGAATATATTATATTATTGAGTAAGAGAATATGACATATAATTATTTGATGGAAATATAACCACATGCCCCTAATAATGAGTGCACCAAACATAAGAACATGGCTATAAATGAGAGAAAATGAAATGGGGTTATGGAATTTATTTTTTTTTTTTTAATTTAGAAAATTGGAAAAACAATTTATGATGCTTCATTTTTTTTATTTTCTATTTTTCATGGCCAACTATTTTGTATGGTGATTGTTTGTACAAGGGGTCAATTTTGTATTGTCATGTGTGTTGTGAATAAGAATTAAGAATAGTGGACACTAGGGTCTTTCTTTTTTTTTAAATATTATTTAGATTTTCGATTTTGAAATTTCCTAGCTCGACTAATAAGGATAGTTTTCGCGTGAATTATAGTTTATCAAATATATATAATAAAAAAATTGATTGATCTCTAATTGTGAAGCTTCATGTCTGAGAACTCTAGTCCAAGTTATATGTTGTGGAATTTTTTGACAAGAGCACCCACAATTATTCTATCGTACTCGATTTTTCGATTGCGATACTGAAGGATACAATTGTATTGAATATGGCTTGTATCAATTAAAATAAGATTTGTTGAATAGTTAGTACTAATAATCAACTAAATTTTTATTATTGATAAATTGATTTTAATTAACATATTTGTTATGTAAGATAAGATTTGGATTGTCTCCGTGACTCAATGAAAAGATAATCTCATTTTATATTTTATCAAGACGAAAATTATGTCTTTCCTTCAAATAATATTTGCCCTTTTCTCAACCAATCAACAAAATAATGAATTCAATTGTAGATATTTGTTATGTAAATGTATGTCTCGTTTTTTAATCTATTTGTAACTTATATGATATTAGTAGTGTAAAAAAACATATCGTCAAATTATTCAAGAATAAATATACGTAAAACTAGTACAACATGATTTTCAGAAATGTTATATCATTTCATACTAAATTAATTTGGTATGTTTCGTATTTCTTAAGTTTAATTTCGTTATTTTGCGGTACCGCAAAATAGTGACCATAGTTTGTTTGATTTTGACTTATAAATATTTATATAATATATAATTATGAATTTGACTTTCAACAAACGATTTAATTATATCATATTAACACCTTACACATGTAGAAATATATATATATATATATTATTATTTTTTTTAAAAGTAGAAGCAATTCTTCGTTAATTAATTATACAAAAAAGACATGTTTAATCAAGGCATAGTAATCAAAATTTCAATGTCTAAACAAGTAGTATCATAATAATTTGTGATTATATACTTCAACATGATATTCGATATCTTAATATTTCTTTTATAAACATTGAATACCATGTTCAATATCAAAATATTAAAATGTATATCAAATATCATAATACTGAAATCATAGTATAAAAAATATTTGATTCCATTAGCCATGCCCACCCCTATCTAAAGTATACACTTCATGGACACTTTTCATATGCATCATATATAGGTGACCTCCATTTGTTCGTCAACATCGTGCACATACAATTTTAAAACACATATATAAAATTTAATTGGCTATACATACCCCTGATTGTCTTCACATACAGTAAAACTTTACTAAATTAATATAGGTGGAACCATAAATTATTATTATTTTATAAAAACATTATTTAAAAAGTTTTTCGACACCACAAAATTCATTTGGGGATGAAATCACTTGTGAAAACATCATTCATAAACCTGAGGTCATGATTAATGATCTCGATTACTGCAATAAAATGGACGTTAATAACCTGTTGGATGGGTGATGATACATGTTAATAGATCCAGAGCTTAGAAGAAATTGTGGATACCATTGAAAAAAATATTGTTGATGTTACAGTAGAAGATATTGATACAATATTTTTGGAACCAATTACGGGTCAGGAAACACTTGTTACATTTAAAACTCTTCACAATTTTATGGTGTGTTCAAAAAGACAACACCGAAACTTTTGGTTGCAATAAGAAAAGTTAGAGATGAGCTTCAACAAGATTTAAATTTAAATAAAAAATAGAACACAATAGAATCATGTTTCACTAAATTCTCTTAGATATATTTGTACTTTTAATAAATTATTAATTTATAATATTAATGGGATCACATATTTATATAAGGGTTTCAGAAGATATATTATCTTATTATTTTATCGAAATGGGTGATTTTTTTCATTGGCCCAAGTCGAGACCAGAGAAAAATATTATCTTATAGAGATTATTGGTTAATTGAGTATTAATTTAGTGAAGTTTTACCTACTTGCAAATACAATTAACTTTTACTTGAAAACACATATTTATATATATACAATACATTTACAATAAGATATCGTATCCTTATTATATCAATTAGAATTAAACTTTCATATTTATACTTATTATTTTAATAGTTCTATACTTCTATTAGTGAAAAGGGGTAAAAATATGCATTAAAGGGATAAAGATAAGAAACTTTTTGCTGAATGTGGTTCATAATCGATATTGGTGCGGTGAACTATTCCATAAAATATTTGAATTTTGATGATTATCTGATCGTATTTAAATCAGTAAAACATTAAAATTTGACGCATAAATTCTTTTTTACTATTTTCTAAATTACAAAGATAAATATATATTAAAAATTCAATGAAAGGGCATTCGTGAGTCAAATTTCAAACAAAGGATAAATGTCAACTTTTTTCACAAAGGCATAATACATGCATACTTTTTTTTTAGGATAAATTAAACTAATACATGCATAGTAGAAATAAACACATTAATTTATATAAAATTGAATAAACAAATACACTTGCTCTACTTAACAATTCATGAGAAAACACTTAAACATATTATATCATATAAGACAAATATTATATCAAATAAAAGGTACATATTTATTTAACACCTTGTTGTATTGTATTATATTGTGTATTATATTATTTTATTGTTTTAATTTAAATATAATATTTGTTTTAATGATTATTTAAGTTTTATTATATTGTATCATTTAAATCTATCGTTAGGTAACAATAACAAAAATACTCATTTTGTATAACAATTTATTTAATGTAATTATATCGTTACCTTAATATTTTCTTTTCATTTTGTCTTTATTTATTCTTTAATAAAATTTATTCTTTATTGTATTTTTTCATAATAGTTATATCTCATACCCTGATTTTCTTATAAGTTTATCATCAAATTATAAACATTTACTATTACATATATTCAAACATTCTATTCATAAAACAATAGAACTACTAATATAATACATACACCGAGTTGCTGTAGGACTAAAACCCTCAGCTGTTTCTCACACAGTCTCTGTATCTCTGCTACTGTTGGGGTTTGGATGGAGAATTCAGCTATGAAGAAGAAGAAGCAAGTGCTTCTCTATTACTGTGTTGAGATGGAAGATGTTGCTCGCAAAATAGCTTCGGAATCCGATTCTATTATCCTCCATTCTATTAACTGGAGGTTTTATTCTCTTTTACAAGTTTTATATCTCCTGTTATTGTATATGTATCATCTGCTTGCTATATACGCAAATTCGTATACTTGAATTTCATGTAGGGAAAATAAGTGGGTCGAATCCAAAATCGAATAAAGATCCCTCTTTTTCTTGTTAGGATTTGGGGGTGATTCAGATTGTGTATTGGGATGGGTGGTGTTTCACGTTTAAAGCGTTAAAATGGGGGAATTATGATTTGGGTCGAATCCAAAATGAGTTAACAGAGGCGGAGCTAGGATTTTGAGTTTATGGATTCTGGATTTTGGAAATTGCAGCTTGCTAAGGTTCTTGATTAATTATTTTTACAAATTAAGTGGATTTTTAAATGCAAATACATGGTTTGAGGCGAAGTTGTTGGGTTCTGTCGAACTGTAGGTCAAGCTGTAGCTCCACTCCTGCCAAAATCGAATCAAGGTTCCTCCTTTTTGTTATAGAAAGCTTTTCTTTTGGTGAGGGGTTGGGCGGGGGGTGATTCAAGTTCTATATTGTGGTGGACGATGTTGTCATGCTACAACAATAACATACTCAATATAGTTCCACTCTGGGCGGGCCCATTATCCACCGAGTTAGAAGGCTGTGATTGGTCCAAGGGCAGGTCATAGACGGATTTCTCGGGTATCAAAAAAAATATATATATATATATATATAGTTCCCCTCTGGGCGGGCCCATTATCCACCGAGTTTAGAAGGCTGTGATTGGTCCAAGGGCAGGTCATAGACGGATTTCTCGGTTATCAAAAAAAATATATATATATATAGTTCCACTCTAGGGAGAGGGGTGTACACAAACATTATCCCTACCTTTGAAGCTTCCTTCATTTGTACTGTCATTGCTTTTCTTTCTTCATTTAACATGTTGTTGTCATGTTAAAAGGGTAAAATGAAGGAAGCTTCAATATAATTTTGGTGTTGTAAATAGTCTTAGACTAAAGTAAAGTAGACGCATAGACTTTATTTTCTAGTGGAGTGTGAAACAGATGCTTGGGCAGTAAAATTCGATTGAGGAAAGACTAGAATCTGTCAGTATAGTATACCTTAATCTGGGATTAGTTGCTTCAGTTTAGTGGTAAAAAAGGTGAATGTTTTCAACAATAGCCAGGGTAAAGGAAAAGGGTTATAAGTTATAACATCATTTTTGCATTGGTTACACTAAGTTTGATTATCAAGTTCCTGCATATTATGTAATTGGCCAAATAATCAGGCTTACAATTGGCAATTTGTATGCTAATAGCCTTGAAATGATGCTATTATTTGTACCATAGTTGGCATTGACTCTTTCCTGCGGCAAATGCTTATCAATATGATGGATTCATGTGCCAGGAGTTTTGCTGATGGTTTCCCAAATCTCTTTATAAACAATGCACATGATATCCGCGGGCAGCATGTTGCTTTTCTAGCATCTTTCAGCTCACCTGCAGTCATCTTTGAACAGCTTTCTGTGATATTCGCACTTCCAAGGCTGTTTGTCGCCTCATTTACGCTTGTGTTACCTTTCTTCCCAACTGGTACCTTTGAGAGGATGGAAGAAGAAGGAGATGTGGCCACTGCATTTACCATGGCCAGAATAATATCAAATATTCCAATATCAAGGGGTGGTCCAACCAGCTTAGTTATCTATGACATACATGCATTGCAGGTTGATCTATTTGTACATTTTGTATTCACATTGCTCTCTTATTTGATGTGATTGTCACTTTGGCTATTTGTATCCTAGATTCTTTAATTTAATTGGTAATTGGAGTTTGCGATCCTTCGGAAGCATGAATTCTTTCTCTTTCACATAATCATGTTATACATCCTATTTTAGCTTTTAGGTTATGCTTTTTCTGTGTGCGTTCCCAGAGAAGTCAATAGTTATACTGCAAATTTCACCTTTCTAATGGTGAACATACTTCTCTCTGTTCTGCAGGAGAGGTTCTATTTTGGAGATCATGTGCTGCCTCTGTTTGAGACTGGAATTCCACTGCTGAAGCAACGGCTTCAGCAGCTTCCTGACTCTGAAAAGGTGGGCTGGAGTCCTGCTGAGCTTTTTTATTTGTGTTTTTTCAATAAATTATCTTGACTGTAGTGACATTCTAATGTCATTTTATTTTCCAGATAGTTATAGCCTTTCCTGATGATGGAGCTTGGAAGAGGTTTCACAAGCAACTAGTTCATTATCCCACTGTTAGTTAAAAATTATAATTTTCTACTTTGATTTCTGCCTGTTACCCAATCTTGAACTTTTGTATAATCAGCAGATTATGTCATTTAGGTTATCTGCACTAAAGTGCGTGAAGGTGATAAGAGAATCGTCAGGCTAAAAGAGGGTAATCCTGCTGGCTGTCATGTGGTCATTGTTGATGATTTGGTCCAGTCCGGAGGTACCCTAATTGAATGCCAGGTACTACTGCCTCTTTAGATCTGATAAGGGTTCTTAATATATTTGTCAAGTGTACTTAAATGTGTCTACTCCCCAGTATGTGACAATCATTTGAAACTTTTAACACCTCTTGGTCCAGCTGGTTTGTTTAGCAAATTTTCATCTCATGGAACTCTGGTTTTACCGTGTTCTTTACTCTTATTGAGTTTTTTCGGGGTGTAAAAAGGATCTGTCTTTGGTTGGTTGAGTAATCGTTCTGATTGATCTGTGTCATTATTTACCTTCTTGCCTTCAGCAGTGAGGATATTCTGGGGGTTTATACCCTCTAACTGGATGAGGCAAACTTAAGGATCCCAACAATCCACGTCAAATTGGATTATTGAATTAAAAAACCGAAAAAAGAAGGGAAAAGGAGGTAGGAAGTTAGAGAATGCACAATAAGAGTCATTCACTTTAAAACTAGCAACATTCTTGGATTACAGAAATCTCCTTTTAAGGTCCACACCTCCACCTTTTAATGCACTGTTGTTAAAAGGCGCGGTGCTACTCAACTTTGATGAGTTCGTTCATATGACAAGTTGCTAATATTGTACTTCTTTGATGCTATTGTTAACCCCAGAAAGTTTTGGCCGCTCATGGTGCATCAAAAGTTAGTGCTTATGTGACCCATGGAATTTTCCCAAACCGGTCATGGGAGCGTTTTCTTCACAAGAATGATGGTAACTCTCTGAAATTATATCCACCTTCCTTTTAGTTTCAGCATCTCCTTATTATCCGAGTTTCTGACATCGCCAATGTTTTTGTTGTGAAGGCTCCGAGAAAGCATTCACTTACTTTTGGACCACGGATTCATGTCCTCATACTGTGAAAGCCGTCGCTAATAATGCTCCATTTGAAGTTATTAGTTTGGCAGGATCAATAGCTGATGCTCTTCAAATCTAAGAATACTAGACAGGATCAGTTATACTGGGAAGAATGTTTGATAAAGTTGTTCACTGACGTGTTGTGAGGGATCTTATAAATTGCATAGTTGTGACATTGCTGATTTGCTGTTGTAACAGAAACTTGTCTTGTTGCTTACCTGTGGAACAGTCACTGTTTGTTCTATGCTATGAACTCTTATTCAATAGTTCCCTAGCAATTGACAACGGGACTTTGATTGTTCAATGGTGAGAACGCAACACGTGATAGGTGGAGTAGGCGCATGATTAGAGTTCGAACATGTAGACAAAAGATCGATATCTCTATAACAACTATTCTCCATAACAATATTTCACAGGTCCTATAACAGTCGCATATTTATTTTTGAAATTGATTTTTCATGTTCTGTATTATGTTCACTAGAATACCATTTTGCTATTGCAACTAAAAATTGTTCAAATAAACAGTATTGTTATCTGCATTAACCTAATCTTTACGTTTAAACCCAAACAGTGAATAAAGTCATATTGTTGTTGCAACATAAAAACCACCACCAACCCCTCAAAGGTTCTTTATCTGGTGAACCATAACGAATCAATCGACTATGCCTCAATACCAAACTAGTCAAGATCGATAATACAGATCTTATATCCTTGCTCCATTAACTATCATAACAATATGACCATTAACCACGATAACATATAACACAGATTTCCATAGACAACAAAAGCTCCAGTTTAACCGCAAATGTGATAAATACAACAGTAGCCAGTCATTACATGATTCAAGAAAGAATGCAGGGTCTGTTAATCTCCATCCTATACACTTATGAAACAGCCCCACAAGTATAACATCAAAAAGTATGCATTAGTCAAGAGAATCCCACCACAACAAGAAGCATAACAGCCAAACTGGCAAAAGCATATCAGCAGAGAGAGGCTTCACAAGTTGGCTGAATGCTTAAACCTTATTTGTTACTTTTCCCCCCACTGTTAAATAGATCAATTGTCATCATTCTACATATAAACAAAATGCTCTCGGCCTCTGTAACAATTCGTCCTACATGCTCTAGAGTGTCCTTCATCCAAAAATCAGACACTACTAGCACACATAAGTAACTATATGCAGTTTCCTGATTTCATTGATAAATTATGTACTCAAATTTCTATTCACAGTTAGGACACTCATTGCCACGGTTGAGGGTCAGCTGCTTCCGGTGAATAGCTCTGGTCTCCCATCTAGATCGCCTGTTGGGCTATCAAGAGAATCTCCTGAATATGACCCATCAGGCCGGCGGATACATATATTCAGATTGCTGGATGGCAACGTTTCCTGGACAAACCAAAAAAGCAATCAGTTTTATAAGCATATGACACCGTGTTATTTCTGCTAGAGGACAACAGTTATGGAGGATAGACTTGTTTTTCAGACAATCTAGATGTTTTCGTAAGCCCAACAAGGTTAATTCACCACAAAGGAGTTATTCAGTTACACTATACTCTATGACTAATTGTACCTCATCAGCTGCCTCTTGGCCCTCTGACTGGAAAAGAATTGGTCGGCATCTTTTGTCTTCATTCATCAAGCTTGAGTTCTGGAAGTGAGTAACCAGAGCTACCTTTCCCTGGATACGTGCATAAGCCAATGATGCAACTTTTTCACTGTTAAACTTTTCCCACTTCTTTCCATTGAATGCCTGCACAAGTTTCTAAGTTTATATCCATTCTAGAATATATAGAACATCCAGATCAGTTATGGAGACAAATATATACATGCAAACTTTTCCTGAAACAGAGAATTACACCACATTCAATGGCTGCAAAATCTTCACCAAATAAATACTCCCTATGTCCCAATTTATGCATCATATTCTCCTTTTTTAGCCTGTCCCATAAAGAATGTCTTACTTATTTTAAAACAATTTTACTTTAAACTTCTCATTTTACGCTTAAATGGGTTATAGTCTCAAAAATGTCTATGGCCTATTTTAGACCACAAGTCTTCCTTTCTTTCTTATACTCCGCGTCTAGTCAAAACACTGCAACATAAACTGGGACGGAGGAACTATGTGGTTATTATAGTTTATGCTTGCTACATGCCAGAAAACAACCACCAAAAGGAATTGGGAAAGAACTCAACCTCATAAAAGGAGACGATATGTGCAGGAGACACCATGTTAATGAAGGCATAACCAACATTACATTTATTCTGAAACAGCAAAACAGTAAAACAATTAGTTCTACCTTCAGTATAAACAAGGCACTCAAAGTTTAGAGATTAGAGGAGAGTTCTGCATGAACTTATCAAAAAATATCAACAAATGAAAGAAATACACTACCTTGAAATCAATTGGCAAATAGATGAAATCGTATGTACTCTTATGAGACTCATCAATTGCTGCAAGTAGCATCTTTGAAGTGTACCTTAAATGAAGAAGAAAAACACAAACTATTAAGCATTAAAAATCTTACCAAAACGCACATGATTTACAATTTCGATAGTTCTTACTTGTTTGGGATGTTCTTAATCATCAAGGTGGTCCTTGTATCTCCTCCACTCATGATCTTCTCCAAATCAAGCTGATACTGTTTCTTGTTGTCAATCTGATTACCACCACTTTCAATTTTTCGATTTCGACCACGTTCAATCAGTCCTTCACCATTAACTGTTCCTGCTCCTCCATATGAACCATTTCCGAAAAATATAGGTCCATTCCTTGTCAATGGCATCATTCTAGAGCTAGGAGAACCACTTCCAGTAAAGTTCCCAGTAAGAGCACCACCCATGTTCATTGCTCCAAGGCTACCTATATTCATCACCTGACTTGCACTGTTATGACTAGAACCTCCACTGCCAAATGCATGTGGGTTTATATATGATGTTTGAGGAGATTCCGGGAAAAAACCAAAATGCCTATCCAGAGGATTTCCGGATGGAGCAGACCCCACGTGATGTGATCCAAGGAAAGAGCTTTGCCTACGTGAATGGAGATAGCCTTGTCCTTGTCCATTTGATGCGAATGGATGTGCCATTGATGAAGCTGGCCAGATAGGAGAGTCAGAACGCTCTGAGTGAATAGGGGGACTACCCCACAGAAACTGTGGACCAGAAAGTGTTCCAGTACCGGATGCCTTAGAGTTACCAAATGGCGTAGATCCCATGCTTAAAGCTGGTTTCTGCTCAGGGACTGAAAAAGAATGCTGATAACCCACTCCTTGCGACGACTTTGGACTAGAAGTTACCTGATTCAAATGCCCAACCCTTGCAGGATCTTTACCAATGGGTGCAATCTTCGGACTTGAGAGGTGTCCAGGAAGAATAGAGGCCAGCCCTGGCATAAGATTACCGTTTACAGGGCTGAGATTTCTCAGACCAGGTGATTGACTATAACCTCGCAATGGGTTGGGTTCAACTGGACTGCCGAAGTTTGACCAGCTGCCTGTTAGATATAACAACATTGTCACATCATCTTATCAGGTTATAGACTCTCCCAGGTTAACATCAGCAGTTATGCTACTTCATCAAAAATTAAAGAAATATTAAAAACAGCATCTATTACGATAATGGAAATACCTGGAGGAGAGCTGGCAACCGGTGATCCAACTGAGTGCCTAAATGATCGAATTTCATCGTGTTCCAATTCTTGAGTTAGTTGCTGCATCAAACTAGACATGAAAAGAAAGTTAATTTTCTTCCTAACTGGTCAACAACTTGCATAATATACCATGCAAATAAACAATAAGCCTCTGCAGAAGGAGAGTGATTATAACAGATTTCTTGGGAAAAGGAAAAGGCTGGAGAATACACTAATGCATCTTTGAGACGTTCTTTATATGTATTTGATTCACACTCATCAGCTGTTTGTAACATTCAAAGCAAATTTTGAAAGGGAAGGGAGGTGAGGGGAGTGTTGGAAGAGTCCAAATATCACCCTAGAACAAGGCCTACAGCGAAATACCCTCACATAGAAAGGCAAGCGTGATACAAGTAACAGAGACCTGCCTACATTGACCAATGCGAACAAAAACATAGAATGACTAACATCATGGCCAACAGTCTATAGTACATTGAACAAGTAAAAATAAATAAAAATTCACCCTTGAAAACTAAACTCGGTGAAGTCACTGGTGAAATTCAAACATCAGATACATTACTAAACAGAAAAACTATTATAGCACCATAGTAATACATATAAGGCAAAGCAAAATATGTGGCTACAGCATTGCCATCTGTCACAATTCATCCATAGAATTATTAGGCTAAAGATGTGAAGGAGGCAGTTAAAAACCCTGAAATACTTGAAACAGAAACGTAAGCATAACAAAACCAAACATATTTGTAGCAGAATTCCGCTTTTGCAGCTGTACTTTGACAGTAAGATAAGTCCAAAATCCATATTGCTGGAGCAGTGGTGTTCTTTTATTACCGGATCAATGGTGTTGCAGGCTACTAACAGAAGATAACACCCAAAAAGAAAGTAACTCTTATCACCAGTCAACTTGCAGTGATACAATTTGACTGTCAATGAGTTAAGCCCAAAATCCATATTAATGGAGTAATGAGGTTGTAGGCTCCTAACAGAGCATTCCATCCAGAATAGAAAGAAATTTCATCACTAATCAACATGCAAAAAGATCCAAGAAATCTTAGCATGCTAAATACTAAAGGGGTTATTTTTCACTTCACTTTCTTTCTTTTGCATTAAGTTATCTTCCTTTTTCTCATGCATGTCTGTCCATAAGCACTTGTAAATTGGGGAAAAATGCTAGCTTATACATTTCATTTATAAATTACACCGGAAAGTAAAAAGAAATGCAAGTTTTTCATAGCAGAACCAGAACATACTTTCGACGGGCTCCACCAGGCCGGCTGGGTTCAAGTTTTATCCGCTTTCCAGCTATGTCACTACGATTTAATGCTTTAAGAGCTGCATCGGCTGCTCTGACATCGTAGAATTCGATGAATTTATGATGGCGTTTATGTGGTGTCTCTCTGATCTGTATTTTGCATAACATGATTTAGTGAAGCTTTAAAGTTTTAGAATTGTGGATAAACACAAGAACAACAAAATAATATTAGCATTAACAGTGAACAATCAAGTAAAATTGATACCTCCTTGACTTCCCCATACACTCCAAAGATTTGCCGAAGATCCTCATTGGATACCGATGGATCCAAGTTGAACACGACAAGAGTTCCTTG